ACTTCCCCTGCCTCTCTCTAGGCAGGTTCCCTGCCACTCGAGTGGCCTTTCTGCACTGCACCGCACCGCAGCGCGTCAGAGGCACCAGGCAACCCCGCTCTATATTTAGGCTGTGGAGAATTCCCCTGGGCTCTCCCTTCCGAGCTGAAAAGGTGAGTCACTGCGAGGGAGAGGCCAAGACTCACATCCGTCCCACTGACCCTGCTCTGACCCGCGCACTGCTCCGAGCTGGCAGGACTGCAGCGTTTTGGAGGGCGGGAGGTGGCTGCAGGTGCACGCAGGGAGGCAGCCAAAGGAACAGCATCCAGGAGCGAAACCCAGCGCCGCACACTGTCCCTGGGGCTGGGGTGTGCACCCCCAGAACCCGGCCATAGGTTGCTCTGTGGGTGTGTTTGCCCCACCAACATCAAATGGGACAATGAGTTACAGGGGAGCCTTTGGCCCTCAAACACCTCCCCATCATCTTTCCTTCTACCTGCAGGTGGTCCTGACCCACCACGGTCACCCTGGGCCATGCACTCATCTAGTCAGTCTGGGCACTTCTGCCTGGAGTCTCCCACCAAGGTGGAGGGAAGGGCTTGGAGTCACCTCCTTGGCCTGCACGGACAGCTTCCCATCAGGACCTGTCCCTGACTGTGGTGGGGAGCTGGGATGCCAGGGAAAGCATAGCAGGGGCTGTGCTCCCTCTGTGGACTTGGAGCCAGTGAACTGGAAGATAAAGGTGCCTCGTAGCTTTGTAGTGCTCAATAAAATGGACTAAATCGAATTAATGCCATCACAAGCCTCTATAGGGGAGTGGAGAGGAGCCCAGCATGGACACTGAAGGCTCTTCAGCCCCCTCTTCTTCCTCCTGGTTGCAGCCACCAGTTCTCTGGCATCTCAGCTCACTGTAGCATATGGATGTGGCCCACCACTGCTCCAGGGCTCTCATAGCAGCTGGTTAAAGACCCAGTTCAAGCCCACCCTTCCCCAGCCACAACCTTGGCCAAGTCCAGCCCAGGCACCGCCACCGTGGCAAGGTGGCAAGCCTATGGCTGATGGTCCCAGGTCCAGGCTGACACACAGAAACTGCAAAGGGACCGTTGGCAAGAGCCATGGAAATCCAGTCCCTCAAGCTCCTTGAGCGTGAAAAACAAATTAGGGGGGAAGAGTCAAACGAGTATCTGCCACAGCATATGCCAAAAACCTGCTGGAAACCTTACAGAGCATCCTGGGGGGAGGCGCTGCCCAGGCAAACATGTACTGAAGGGGAGCAGGGACCACCGGGCTGGGAGCCAGAGGGACAGGGGAAGGGACACAGGAAGGGGAAAGGGAAGGGAGAACCTCCCAGCATGTGTCTTCTGCAGCCTGGAAGAGGCAGAATCTTTGAGCTGCTCCCAGACTACAAGGCAAGCAGCAGCCGTGATCAGAAGCTGGACAGGACTTGCCCCTGAGCGAGCTCCTTGGCTATGGATGTGCCACGCAGGAGATGCTCCTGAGGGGCACATCCCACAATGGTCTGTGGGCAGCACCCAGCACCATGTCCTGAGAGCTGCCTCTGCCTGCAGCCTGGTCTCAAACCATTCCGTACAGTTTGCTCCTCTACCCCACGCCTGGGTCATTGCCTGCCCCTCCCGCACGTCCCCTCTGGGCTGTCAGCCCTGGAGCCACAGCCCCCTGCAGTCAGCAGGAGCAGAGGTAACCCAGGGGAGCTATGCGAGCCCTGCTCTGAGCACCCCTTGTCCATGTTAGGGCCACGCTCTCCCTTCAGCTCAGAGCAAGGCAGACTGCAATCCTTGGGCTACGTCAGATGCAGCGCCAGGCCCATGAGCCCAGCCAGCATCCCTCTGGGATCTCCTCTCCACTGACCCCGCTGGCTGGCTGCACACCGGTGCCTCGACACACCGGGACTCGGGTCGGGACAGTGCCCACGGGCGCAGCCCAGCCTGCTCCAGGCTAGGAGAGCGTGAGAGCCGATTTCCACCTGTAACCATTCCCCTGCAATCCCCCTTCTGCCCATGCTCTCCAGGTGGATGAGACCACCCTGCTGTCCTCGCACTCGGCCACGTTGCTCAGCTTATTCCAGCTCCTCTGAAATACATATACAAATCAAATGTGCAAATACTGCGTCTCGGGACCAAGACGGCAAAGGAAGGGACGTGCTCCTGAGAGCAGGAGGAGCAGCAGTGCTAGAGCAGCACGGGAGGAGCTTGGAAATGAAGTGAGCAGGGGCCGAGCAGAGGGTGAGGGTTCCCAGCAGGCCCCCACCCGTGCCAGCAGGCTCCATCATCACTGAGGTCACATGTCACTTAAATAGGGAACACGATTGAGTCTGGAACGTAAAACAAACATCTTCGGCAGCCTGCTCTGAAACTGTAAAGCTTCAGATCTCTGCGCAAGATCTGACCTCCTTCCAAAGAACAAATTACTCCTCTCCCACATAAAAATAAAGTGAGATGCTGTCCAGAAACAGTGACACCAATCTGCACGGACTCCACGGGGACTCTGCACAGCAGGCACAAACCAAGAGGCCTGAAAGCCTTGAGCACAACGAGGCGGGTTCCTCAGTGCTGTGACAGGCAGGAAGGTGGGGAGGGTCTGCTGCAGGCAGAGAAAGCCACCGGCTCCCTGCTCCACCTTGGGGTCAGGGCAGAGGCAGAGCAGGGCAAACAGCTATGGAAAACTCAGCCAAGTACGTGGCTGCTGCCGCTGCCTCTATGCAGGAAGCAAGGAAAAGTGCAGAAAAACAAACCCATGCTCATCTCCAACCAGAAGCTCCAAGTGGAGAAGGAGGGAAAGCCATTATTCTCCCTTTGAATTATAGCAGCACCAACACCACCAAAGTTTTGGACGGATTTGTTTTCCTGGGGAAAGGTCTGAGGCCGGTGATGACACAGATGGATCATGGAGAGGCTGGGCTTTTTGCAGGGCTGTGCACAAACAGACTGTGCCTTGCACCTTGGTATTTCTAGTATGATTCCAGCAGAGTGTCTTTTAAAAAATAATACTTTGTACATTCAGGCATTGCTGCCTCGGGGCAGCGTCACCTCCCATTTGGCACAAATCGTTTTATTCACAAACCTTTCTTCTCTCTCCTGAGTCTTTCCTGTTTAATTCAGGACACAGAAGATCTGTCTGCGATGCAGAGTTCAAGAATGGCCCACTCAGCCCCTTGCCCACCTCCTGCCAGCTCTGGGCCCTGGAGGCAGCAGACGCAACCCTCATGCAGACTGGCAATACGAGAGGGTCTTCCCAGAGCACCTGGGTGTCTCTGTGTGTCTTCAGTGAGGTGGGATTCTTGCGGGGGGGCTGCCAGTGCCTGCTCCCAGAGCTGCAGTGTGCATCTTCGTCTCCTCCCTTGGAGGCAGTGGCTGCAGCCACTCACAACCCCCCTGGTTGTG